TTGATGACAAAGTCTCCAGTTGACGTTCCATTCTTGTTTTCTTTTTAATATTTTTCTTATCTACCGCCATATTTTTATCGATATCGTCGCTGCTGTTACATACTTCTGTAGAAGCATTTCCTGGACTTAAACAGTTTTCAACAGCAAAAGAACGTCTTTTTAGACTGGATGCAATAGCAACTGGCTTAACACTTGGTTTCATACAGAGCACTTTCTCCATTTCATCATAAAATTTACATGTTTTAGGTTGTACACCTGTTTGTGCGTTGTAGTCCTTTATTGCTGTGTAATGTCTTCTAAGGTCTTTGAATTTATTTTCACACTGTACAGTATTGAAGATCCAGTTAGGGTTTGTTTTTTGCAGACTCTCAGAAATCATACGCCATACTTCTGCATTCTTCATTATATCACTTTTAAACAATGGTTCATGATCATGCCACAGTTTTATTAAAACTTTAACAGCATTTTCGTCTTTCCATTTTGCTATTTCTTGTGACTTTGATTTAGTAGGTAATTCTAAAAGTTTCTTGGCTATCATTGGATCCTCATTTTCTTGTTCTGCGAAACGTTTTTCAGACATATTTACAGATGTAGATGATGTTCCTATAAATATTATAAAACATATTGGGTGCTTTCCAATTAGCGATATAAATCGACACAGAAGTCATTCTGTCCTTGTTCAATATTTAATGAAAAACAAAGATAAAATGATTCCTGTATCAACTTGTGTCAATAAATGAAAAACATCCACTAATAAAAAAATACTTATCCTCATATTTGGTATGAATAGCATGTTCCTTTCAAGGAAATTGCAACTCCCCAGTAAATGCTAGATATTCCATGAATATCTTAAGGATGTTCTAAGTATATTCACAGAATATTCATGGAATATGTAGCGTTTACTGAGTCTTACAACATTACAATAAAATAAAATAATTAAAGGTTTTTACCAGGAGAAGTTAAAGGATGTTCATCTGAAAGTACATTACACAACTGCATAGCTTTATGCTCGGGAACAGCGTACAAATGCTTATCTGTCATACGTAAATGTCACAATTTTAATATAAAATGATAAAAATCTTTTAAAATCATCTAACCTAGTCAAGTACTAAGGTCTGGTATTCACAATGCTAGAAATCCGAGTCCGAGTACTAGAACCGAGAAATGTGTAGCCAATAAAATTGTCGCTTTTCTATAAAAGTTTGTGCAAGCAAAATGTTATCTGGAAAGTTAATTGGCTATATATTCCTCGGTACGAGAACTCGGATCGATTTCTAGCATCGTGGGCACCAGGCCTAAGGAAATTTATAAACTTATTTATTACTCCTTACCTTCAATATCGTATATAAAAATATTTCCCTTATCATCCTTTTGTATGTTTTTTTTAATATCCATACACAGTATATGACGACCCGGGATTAAATCTTCCATTTTTTGTCACAAATTGTTACTATTGTGACTTTTAACGTGCCTCGTATTAACGTGATCTCGTAAGAGAAAATTTCAGAACCTAAAATACAAAAAGCTTAATAAGCTTTATTTATATTTAAAGACAATATTCTGACAATATACATCACTATAGAAATAAACCTAAACCTGGCTAACCTACACTGCTGTATTTAAATTTTTTATCTTACCGTGATGGCTAATGATGGTTGTACGAATGCTTCGAAGAACAAAAAACTATAAATTATTTAGTAACTTCATACTGAGCTGCGTTCGAAAACGTCACTCGAGTACTCTTCCTTTCTTTTTATCTCACTCTTGTATCTCGCTCACTCCAACATAACGGGTTCACTTGGGTGACGTTTCCGAACGCAGCCCTGTATTGCACTCTTTGCGCACTCTCCACCATCTCCACCGATTCACACCGCGCAAAAGAGAGTGGAGAAAAGTCACACGAGTGGTCCACGGAGTATGGTTTTCGAACGGCCATGGTCGCATGGTCAGTGTGCCCACTAGGGGTTTTCGAACGATCTGAGTGTGACAAAATACACACGGGTGATGTTTTCGAACGCACCCCTTTTGCGCGTTGTGAATCGGTGGAGATGGTGGCGAGTGCGCAAAGAGTGCAATACAGTATGAAATTACTAAATTATTTATGGTTTTTTGTTCTTCGAAACATTCGTACAACCATTAGCCATCACGGTAAGATAAAAAATTTAAATACAGCAGTGTAGGTTAGCCAGGTTTAGGTTTATTTCTATAGTGAT